TGAGGGGCCAGGTGCTCAGGGAAGCCAGCCCCGTGGCTGCTGCTCCAGGAAGGGAGCAGAGCTGACTGAGGCTGGGAGGCTGCCAGGAACTGGAGTGCCAGAGACCTCTGAGAGAGGTGTCCCTGAAGCGTGGGGCCAAAGACTGAGCTAAGACTATTTTCTGTTTGATAACCTCTGTTTAAAGAAATAAACCTCCTTGAAAAGCTTCAACATGGCAGTGCATGCTTTGGAGCTAAGGAGAAGAGACAGCCCCTGTTGCAGGTCCTGAAGGGATCAGTTCTTGACCTTACACTGTTTAAACCTTCTAAATCAGTGACTTGGAAGAGAACATAGGATCATAACTAAGACCCTACTAAATTCACGGCTATGAAAAACATGTCACAGACCGTCAAATCTGGTCTTTTGTGTGCTTTTACCCTATATTATACAGATTTTATGAGGGAGACCAGCATTTCTCAAATTGAGGGTCCTGACCCAAAAGGGAGTTGCAGGGTGGTTGTAAGGTTATTTTAGGGGGGTCATGGTATTGCCAGCCTTACTTCTGCACTGCCTTCAGAGCTGGGTGGCCAGAGAGCAGCGGCAGTTGGCCAGGCACCCAAATCTGAAGGCGGTGCCTCACCAGCAGTAGTGCAGAAGTAAGGGTGGTAATACCATACCATGCCATCCTTACTTCTGCGCTGCTGCTTGCGACGGCTCTGCCTTCAGAGCTTGACTCCCAGTCAAGCCGCTGCCACTTTCCCGCTGCCCAGCTCCAAAGGCAGTACCGCCACCAGCAGCAGCACAGAAATAAGGGTAGTAGTACCGCAACCCCTCCTACAATAAACTTGTGACACCTCCCCCCCCCACCACAACACACACAACTTCTTTTTGAGTCGTATTGTTTGTTTGTGTCCAGCTCTCCAAGTGATCCAGATGGCTCTGTATTAATGACCTGTCCTCTTCATTGTTTACCACTCACCCAATCTTTGTGTTGCCTGCAAACTTTATTAGTTATGATTAGGGCCCTACCAAATTCACAGTCCATTTTGGTCAATTTCACTGTCATAGGATTTTAAAAAACATAAAATTCATTATTTCGGCTATTTAAAGCTGAAATTTCATGGTGTTGTAATTGATGGGGTCCTGACCCAAAAAAGAGTTGTGGGGGGTCACAAGGTTATTGTGTGTATGGGGTGCAGTGCTGTTACCCTTACTTCTGTGCTGCTGCTGGCAGCAATGCTGCCTTCAGAGCTGGGCACTTGGAAAGCGGTGGCTGTTGGCCGGGAGCCAAGCTCTGAAGGCAGAGCCACTGCCAGCAGCAGCGCAGAAGTAAGGGTGGCATGGCATGCCTTTTAAAGACACAAACTGGGGAGAGAGACTCATTGTATACTAACTACCTGCTTCTGGAAATTCCAGATCAAATACCCCATATCTGTATAAAAGGGTGGACTAAATTTAGAATCATAGAATATCAGGGTTGGAAGGGACCTCATTTCTCTGTAATGCTTTTTACCTTAAGAATAAAGTAGGCTTGCTTAGAAAGAACTGTGTGGTAACACATATCTGAAGCAATCACTCTGTCCTCAGTCTCTGAAGAGAAAGCAAGCAAGTTTAGTTTGGCAGACTGTCTTTGCTGGGAGAACACAGGGAAGGCACGGAACTGTTCAGCCTTGACATACCCTGGTCAGAAGAGACTGAGATGCAGGTCTCCACCAAAGAGAGGCAACAGCTGAGGAGCTGGAAGCCTGAGACTGGGTGACCTTGCTGAACAACTGAGTGGAAAGGCAGTTAACCTTAACTCTGACAGATGTAACCTAGGATTTCAAAATGAAAAGTAAAATAACACTGTCTGATGTTATGTGAGACTCTTAGGAAGGAATAAGAAAATATAAAATTAATTGAGGGTGAAAAATAATACTCAGTACTTATATAGTGCCTTTCTTTCAAGAATCTTAAAAGTGTTCTATAAACACTAATTAATACAATCCATTAACTATAATAGTGTAAGCAGTATGCCCAATTTACAGATGGAAAAATCTAGACACAGAGAGGCTGAGTAACTTCCCATGGCCACAAAGAGTCAGGGGCAGAGTTGAAAATACAACCCGACCCTTTTACATCTAGAGGACAATAAATGACATGACACTTCCATTAAGGAGAAATCTTTCTAGTCACTTTTGTAAAACTGAAAATAACATTATAATACCAGGTTTCAGAGTAGCAGCTGTGTTAGTCTGTATCCGCAAAAAGAACAGGAGTATAAATTTGTTAGTCTCTAAGGTGCCACAAGTACTCCTGTTCTTTTTGTTATAATACCAAACAGTTTTACACCAGACTCAGTTTTAAGTTTAGGTGCTTCTAATAAGAAGTGAGGGTATTCTTCCTTTAATGCCTGTGTATAACTTACATTAAATGTTACTGAGAGTGCTAGAAAAACTTCAGTATATATACCCTATAGTTCACTCCCTCACCATTTCCCCCCAAAACACAATTATTCATTGCATCTTTTTTTTTACTAGTTTACTTGTGCCTTTGAAATCAATTATTCCTGTCACTCTTCTTCAATTTATCTTTTTTCTCTCTCACGATGGCAAGTCACCTAAAGACTTAATAGTTTCTCTGGACTGTATCATCACTTAATTCATGGAAATATGGAACAATCTACACAGACAAGGAGACAAGACTCTAGCTCATTCTGATCTCTAGTGCTTGGGATTTCCACAGCCAAGTGTCCTTCACCAAAAATGCCATAGTCTACAACTTTCACCCTGAGCTCTATCAGCCACTCCCTGTTGGAGTGAGTTGTGGGAATAAAGTGCTCTTGAGCCATCTTTCGGCGTAATCAGTGGAGAATTTTAAATAATATAACTAGATCCTTGAAGCAGATCTGAAACTGGATCAGAATGGATTTTCATAAAAAATAATTTGTAAGATGAGAGTGGACAGACCCATTTCTTCAAGATGGAAATATCTGCTGGTGGACATTTTACCAGAATTTAAGCCACTTATATTCTATAGCAACTCACAAGATTTCGGGAAAAAACTGGAAAAAAAAAAGCAAACTATCTTTCCCAGGGAAAATGTCTTTATCCAGTTCCTTTGTGTATTTTAGTTAGTTTGACATATTTGAAGTGTTGGCACAAGCTTATTAAATAAGTTTGAAGAGAACAAAGGACTCCTATAATATTCAATAAAATTTAAAAACCACACCTGCAAAACTAAAATTGAAATTGTTTCAGATTGTTTTTAAGAGTTATTATGGAGACAGTTTTAGCAACTATTTAAAAAAATTACCAGGGAATGAATACCTAAAAGTCAATATGACAGCATAACTACTCCAGTACTTCGATTGTAGGATCATCATATAGTGAGATTTCAAAAGTTTATAAGAGAAAAAATCTGCATTATTTTTAATTAAACAAGAACCAAAACAGCTGTTAATGTTATATGGCTTTGTATACATTCTATTAGCCAAAAGAAATAGTGTTCTGATATGAATAGCATCAAGTAATGCAGTACTTAGGCTAGTTACTTGGCAGTAAGCCCTACAAGCACTAAATAAGGCAATTTTATCACAAATCTGAGAGGTAGATTTTATCATTACACTTAAATTATTAATTTTAAACTATTCACAAAACTGACCTGTATTTAAATCATCTATGTAAACAGAATTGTTATCCCATGTAACATATGGAGAAAGAAGATGGAAGAGTGGTCAAAACCCACTGAACACTTGTTAAAATACTTTAAAATATAATTTATTATGATTGTGTTTATAACAAACAAGTTTCCATTCTCTCCCAATTACATAAAACACAAAACTATAAAATAAATTATACTGACAAGAGTAGGAGTCAGCCCTTTTTCATGTACACTTTTAACCACTAACAAACAAAAATGCACCTTATTATTACTATTTACTATTCATTGATGTTCTTGGCACTCAGCAAGACACAAACAAGACAGCTGTCCCTCCCCTCTCAGCAGGATGGCCATCTTCCAAAGGGAAAGGGGAGACCCAAAGTCTTTGCAGACCAAGGTCCCCGTTGGGCAAAATTATTCAGAAGTGAGCTGAGTCCTTGAGGCAGGCTGAAGAGGGTCTACCCTGGTTATACAGTGGAGGCTCTATAACCTTGGACTGGACAGAGTTAAATGGCTAGTACGTGAGATACGGTGGGTGCATAGCACCCCTCCTCCATTATTAAGTAATAAAGTTGCAGCCTGATGCTTAAATCCATTTCTGTGTCAGGCTTTCATTCACCTGTGTGTCCTGATCATACCAACCTCAACAGCTTACAATCTAGATGACAGACACAGGAAGACATGGTGCACAGTAAATCCTTTCTCTGGGACTTGCACTAGATTTAATTATCTTTGCCCTTAATTTAATAGGGATTTTTTCCATTTTTTCCTCTATTTGCTCATCCTTCAAGTGCGAAGAAAGTGTGTATGTTTTGTGGTCTGTTAATGGGAAAGGTAAAGGAGAGGGTGCAATTATTAAGAAGTATTCTCAGTCTACCAGACTGGGGGGCAGGATAGAGCTCAGAGCTTCTGCTCTGCGGTGGGGGGGTGGGGCTAAGGACTTCTGCCAGAGACAAATGGTGCCTGTTGGAGGGCTGGGGGGGAGCACAATTTAAAGGTTCATCCTATCCCACAGTTTGAGTCCACTCCTCAGGCATCCACCCCGCCTTACCCGCAACGGCTATTCCTGCAGTTCCCAGGTGTTTGCTGCTGCCTCTCCTCATGGCCACAGCTCCCAGCTTGTCAGCTCCAGACACTGCAATGCAGGGAGGGGGCCCAGCAGCACCATGTGACTGAGCAGGGCCAGCAAACCTTAGCAAAAATTGGGGGGGCAAGTAACCCCATGTGCCCCACAATGCATCACCTCTGGCTTCAGCCCAATGGAGGGTCTCAGGATTTCAGCCCTGTGGAGCTTGCCTGCCGAGGCTCCGTGCTTCAGGAGCGGGGCTGAAGCCCCGAGCCCCAGCTCTTGAACTTCTAAAAATTGTCATATGCGGCTCAGAGGGTCAGTAAATTTGGCCACCCCATTATATGGAAAGCTTGGAAGAGAACAAAATGCTGTTATATCAAGGACCATCACCAGAACAATAAATAACCTAAATAAAAGTACAAGACAACTATACCAGTATAGAACAATACAATTTAAAGTTTCTTAACTTACCTTGGTGTTTGCCATGTCCACAATGTACTGGTCTCCTTTAACACATTCCATTACTGGAAAGCCATCTCTGTCAAGAACTTTAGCTTGAGAGTTACCAGACACAACAAGAATGACATCCCCTGTGCTGCTATACTGTAAAGATTTGATTTGGTGACTGAAAAAAATTAGAAAACACAACATATGTTTTCATTAAATACAATTTCCTTAAGCCAATTTTAAAATGAAGATGCATCAGTAGTGAGAAAATCCTTAAAAACATAAATGCTCTGAAAATAAACATATAGTATATCTATAGTATTTCTATGAGGCCTCTAATCCCCGCATATTAGTTGTTACACCTGCAGTGAGAGAAATTTTTTGCACAAGTTGTGCCTACCTGATTGTAACAACATTTACAGGGTATTATACATTTTACTTTTGGACAAACATATTTATCATAAGGGTACTTTTGTAACTCCAGATAACAGTAGATAGGTGTCACAAGAGGTACGTCTCTTCAGGGCAGAGATGATTCCTGGATCAAGGGAGGCAAGCTGACCCAGCCAGAGGGGCTTGATAGATCTCTCTGGACATCTCTATACAAACTAGCAGAACCTAGTGTTCAGAGAAGGAAGGATTACCTAGTCCAGTGGTTCTCAAAGTCGGTCCGCCGCTTGTTCAGGGAAAGCCCCTGGCGGGCCGGGCCGGTTTATCTGCTGCATCCGCAGGTTCGGCCGATCGTGGCTCCCACTGGCTGCGATTTGCCGCTCCAGGCCAATGGGGGCTGTGGGAAGGGCAGCCAGCACATCCCTCGGCCTGCGCGGCTTCCCGCAGCCCCCATTGGCCTGAAGCGGCGAACCGCGGCCAGTGGGAGCCGCGATCGGCCGAACCATGGATGCGGCTGGTAAACAAACCGGCCCGGCCCACCAGGGGCTTTCCCTGAACAAGCGGTGGACCGGCTTTGAGAACCACTGACCTAGTCCACCTAGGTTAGCTCATGGTAAGTGTAAATTTAGATACATTAAGCAAACCTTTTTCTTTTTGTTCTAATTCCTTTTCCCCTGTGTTTTCAATAACAATCCCAAAGAGCAATAGTAGAGGAGATGTTAAAAAAAAATCTTGGAATGAAGAACTAGTTACAAAGTTTAACTATGAAGCTGCTATTGCAACTCCATAATAAGGTGCAACAAAACAAAACATCAAAAGCAACAAAGTTTCACAAGGAAGTGAATGTGGATTTTAACCCAAGCACAAAACTTGGCATACAAAGTGGAGGAGGAGGAGATGGACTGGTGCCATTGCATAACTTTCAGGAAAAAGAAAAAAAAACCTAAAAGGACCCTTCTCCCAAAGCAAGCCCTCTGGCTGATTAATAAAAGAGCTGGAACACATGCCAGATGAACACAGCTAAGAATTCACTGGATACTGTATGATGGGAATCAATTCTCAAACAAACTTGTGGTCACCATTTTGGAACTGTTCCATCTAAGACAGTAGTTCTCAACCAGAGGTACACGTACCCCTGGGGATATGCAGAGGTCTTCCAAAGGGTACATCAACTCACCTAGATATTTGCCTAGTTTTACAACAGGCTACATAAAAAGCACTAACAAAGTCAGTACAAACTAAAATGTCATACAAACAAAATGAGAAAGTAAGAAATTGTTTCAGAGTAGCAGCCGTGTTAGTCTGTATTCGCAAAAAGAACATGAGTACTTGTGGCACCTTAGAGACTAACACATTTATTAGAGCATAAGCTTTCGTGGGCTACTGCCCACTTCGCTACTGCCCACTTCTTCGGATGCATATAGAGTGGAACATATATATATCTCCTCAATATATGTTCCACTCTATATGCATCCGAAGAAGTGGGCAGTAGCGAAGTGGGCAGTAGCCCACGAAAGCTTATGATCTAATAAATGTGTTAGTCTCTAAGGTGCCACAAGTACTCATGTCTTTTTTGCGAATACAGACTA